GGCTCCCCGCTCTCTTGTCGAACTCCTTGAACGCCTTCCGCAGGGAAGTCGGCGACCCGCGCTCCAGGAACTCTCGCGTGGGCGGCCGCAGGATCAGCATGTCTCGCATGCACTCCCTCGCAATTCACTCACAGACAATGCTGCCGCTCGAGATTTCCGCCATATTCAAGCTTCAAGAGTTCAGAAATGATGACGGGTACAAGAATCCGATGACCCGCTCGGATTGGCAACATGAGCTGCACGCCCCATAGTCCCCATAGGGATGGGCTCCCCTGTGCACTTCCGCGCCATTCACTCACAGACGAAGCTCCCGCTCGATTTCCACAATATTCGAGTTTCGAAAGGCCAGAATTGACGACGGTTACAATAATCCGACGGCCCGCTGGGATTGGGAACGTGCGCTGCAGGCCCCATAAGGAGGGGGCTCCCGCCTCGGACTTCCTCGCCATCCAATCGCAGACTAGGCCCCGGCCAAAGAGTTTCTCAATACTCAGATTTTCAGAAGCCAAAAAGAGCGACGGTTACAGAAATCCGATTGCCCAGTCGGATTAAGAACATGATCCGCGGGGCCCCATAGGGAAAGGGCTCCTGCAAGAGATTTCCTCTTCACTCACAGACGAAGCTCCCGCTCAAAACTTCCGCAAATTCATCAAGACTGAAGAACCCCAAACTTACGATAATTACAAGAATCCGATGGTCCGCTCATATTAATCACATGAGCTGCGGGCCCCATTGAGAGAGGACTCCCGCCTGAGACTTCCTCGCAATCCACTCACAGACGAAGCTCCCGCTCGAGACTTCCGCCATAGCCAACACCGAGGAGCCCAAAGTGACGACGGTTACAAAAGTCCGATGACCAGCTCGGATTACTAAGATGATCCGCGGGCCCCATAAGGAGGAGTGTCCCGCCTGGAACTTCCGCGCAATTCGCTCACAGACGCGGCTCCCGCTCGAGACTTCCTCCAAAGTCAGGCTTGATGATCCCGAAAGTGACGATACTTACAAGCATCCGATGACCCGCTCGGATATTTTTGAAGGAGTTTCTGTGGAGCTCACGTCATCCTCACCCCTGGCGCGCGAGGAAATCAGGCCCCACCGCGCCCCCAGGGACCACGTGCGGGGCGCGCACCAGGCGTGTCCCAGCAGGGCGCTCGCTCGAGACATCCTCGCAAAATCGAGCCCCTGGCGGGAAAGCGGTCAGGCCCCAACGCGCCCCCGGGGACAATTTCCGTGGCGCGCGCCGGGCGCGTCCCAGCAAGGCTCTCGCTCGAGACATCCTCGCAAGGTCGCCCCGCCCGCCGCGCGAGGAGGACAGGCCGCACCGCGCCCCCCCGGGGACCATTTCCGGGGCGTGCACAGCGCGTGTCCCAGCAGGGCTCTCACTCGATGCATCCTCGCAAAGTCCGCCCTGGGCGTGCTGAGTCGCCCTGGGCCCGACTCCAGGAGGAGGGGAGTTGGAGGAGGAGTTGGAGAAGGAGGAGGAGGAGCAGGAGGAGGAGGAGGAGGAGGAGGAGGAGGAGGAGGAGGAGGGGGAGGAGGAGAGGAGAAGCTGGGGAGGGGAGGAGAGGAGGAGGAGGAGGAGAGGAGGGGAGGAGGAGGAGGAGGAGGAGGAGGAGGAGGAGGAGGAGAGGAGGAGGAGGGAGGAGGAGGAGGAGGAGGAGAGGAGGAGAGGAGGAGGAGGAGGAGGAGAGAGGAGGGGGAGAGAGGAGGAGAGGAGGAGGAGAACAAGGCGGAGGAGGAGGAGGAGGAGCAGGAGGAGGAGGAGGAGGAGGAGGACGAGGGGGAGAAGGAGGGGGAGAAGACAAGCTAGGTGCACTCGCGTCATATCTGACGTCCTGCCCCTACCATCCCATCCCTTACCATGGCGTAGACCTCCTCTGTATTCGCACGGTCGGATGTCGAGCAGGGCAATGATCACGAGAGGGTGCGCGATGCATCGTAGAGCACAGCATAGCAGGGCGTAGAAGAGCACGGCAGTGCGTAGTATGTCATAGCATGGCGTGGCGTTACGTAGTGACGAACTGCATCACAAAGAAGTGCAACGCAAATAATGGCATCGCACAGCGGCACAGAGCAGAACATGGCATAACATGGCGTTGAAGTTCAAAGCGTAGCATGGCACTGCGTAGTCAAGCACTGCATATCCTAGCATTGCAGCTGAAGGCATGACATCGCCCAACGAGCACCACATAGCATTGCATTGCATGCCGTGGCATGGCACTGGAAATAATGACGCCAGTGCTGCAGCGGGAGCACGATTCGGAATGAGCGAAGCGCGGAAATGAGGCCAACGCTGCAGCGGGAGCACGATTCGGAACGAGCAGAAGCGTGGAAATGAGGCCAACGCTGCAGCGGGAGCACGATTCGCAACTCCCGGGAATCCTGTGTGTAAAGAATTGTACGCGGAGGGAGGCCGAATATCTTCCCGACGTCATCAGGGGAGAGGAGAGTAGTATTCATATGTGTTACTTTGTGGCGGAGGAGGACCCAGAGGAGGAGG